ACCATTTCGTGTTCGCAGAAGGTTAAAGTTTCATTCTGGGCTTTTTTTTATGGCTGTCGAGCTTCCGGGAGGGGTGTTGTTTCTCGGTGCGGAGCTCTTTTTTTGTACAGGCCGCCGGTATCGTTGTCGGATGGTCGCGTCTTCGCTGACGTCATGATGACAGCGGCTTCCGAGGAATAGCGTTTGACTACTTTTCTTTTGGGATATCCGGATCGGGTCGGATCAGGGTCCATAATCGCGCTTAGAAATCCTAGATCAGGTTCTTAGCAAGGGCGTTTTTTGTTTATCTTCCCCACAGTCGGCACCAAAATGTAGATCCTAAAATCTACACTCAGTATTTTGTATAGATCGAGAGTTCAATCAGGGTTAGACAAAGGATGTGGACAACGATTCTCTTAAACACAACGATATAATCAGACTTCGGTTGACAAAAATGGACTTTTATTGAATGTAGAATTCGTTTACAAAGTGATGAACAAGATTGGAAATAACAACAAAGAGTATAAGAAAGTGAACTAGAAATCTAAAGAAATGAGGTCGATGTGATTAGTGAATAGCTCTAGAGTTTTTCTCGGGTCCCTTGATTGTCATTCTAGCTCTCTTTTTATAGTCCTTCCTTCCTCTAACTGCTTCCGCGATCTCTGGGACACCGTTTCGACCTCGTAGAGTCCGCTGGTCGTGACGTGATGATAAAACTCGGGCCTGGACCTTGTTATGGACATGGGGCTCAATTATTTTCTCGCTGTACTTCCCCGAACTCGCTTATTCACTTCTTTGACGAGCTTGGATTTAATGGGACCGATTTTGGGTCCAACACATATCAACCTTCCACGACAGATCCACCAGATCTATAAGATTATTCACCATTATCGAAAAGGTCCAAAAATTGTGATTGGGTATTTGGTAATGCTAACCTCGGACGAGGAGCGGGGATCCATGAATCAGTCCATACAGATATAGACTGTCCATTGCCCACTATTTTGATTAGCCCTTTTTTAACAAGATATCTAGCTGAACAGATGCTCCTCCATGCATATGATGATGAGAAGGATATGTGTTCGTCAAGAGGATGAGAGTAACGAAAATATCTTCCTTTAAAACCCTTTGAAAATAAACAATATGGTTTTTCTATTAATCGCCAGAGCTGTTTAGCCAGTAAAGCTGTGTTAAAATCTTGAATATCCCGAAAACTTAAACCCTCCTCATCCTTAGGAATACATACTTTATCCTATGCGTACAAATGAATTCTTTTTTTTTGTTCCCATGCCCCCACATATGTGTTGGTTCGTGGAGGACACTGATTTGATCAATACTTCCTTTCCTCTTCTAGTCAGAAACCGACTGTCCAACTATTCACCGTATTATTAATTATTTCATTTAATAAAAATCCAAAAATCTGAATTTTCGATCGTCTTAAACTTTCTGGAATACCGAGATAAGTTCTCATCCTCCCTAGTTTCGTAATGCCAAGTAAGTTGTGAATCTCCAACCGCTTCTCCTCCGCAACTTTGTGTCCGAATTGAATCGATGATTTTCAAAAATTGACTTTTGGTCCACAGACCCTTTCATAGTCTTTTAAGAGTTTTAAAATAACCTCACATTCTTCCAAGGTAACCTTGTAAAAAAATAAACTATCATCCGCAAATAATAAATGGGAAATCACAGGCTACCTCAAGCGATCTTTAAACCCATCAATCACTTCCCTCTTTCTTCTTTACTAATATTAGCAATAAGGACATCCGTACATAGAATAATTAGATAAGGATACAAGGGATACCCTTGTCGTAATCCCCGTTACGGGACGATATGACCTTTTGGTTGTCCATTTAATAAAAACTTATAGTTAACTGAAGATATACATTTTATAACCAGATTTACCCATTCCATTGAAAAGCCTATTTTTAACTGTAGGCGTTGTAAGAACGGTCACTCCACCCTATCATATGCCGTACTTATATCCGTCTTGATTGCCAAAAATTTATCTTTACATGAATTATTAGTACATAAACCATGAAACATCTCCTGAGCAATAAATTTATTGTCTGAATTTAATCTTCGAGAGATAAAAGTCGACTGGATCTCTGAAATCAAGTTTGGTAATAAGACTTTAAATCTCTGACATAACACCTTTGAAATTATCTTATAACCGACATTGCATAGACTAATGGATCTTAATTCAATCATCCTATTTGGCTTCACTGTTTTTGGGATGAGACAAATATTCGTCATATTGAAACGAGCATCGAGAATCCTTTTTGAAATAAAATCATTCAACATAGCAACAAAATCCTCCTTGATTATCGATCAAGATTATTGATAAAAGAGTGATGTTATACCATCAGGTCCGGAAGCTTCAACGGATCGGTGAAAGCATCATAAACAGGGCCTTCTTCACCTCTTCTTATGAAGCCATAGCCATAAACCAAGTATTTTGGGCATTCGTCAGCATAATAGGAATTTTCTCAAGAACACCATCAAACTCATTTGGAGAAGTATGGAAAAGGTCAGTAAAGTACTTAATCGCCACCTCCTCTATCTCGGCTTTAGATTTTACCCGTGTTTTAAAACTCGGACTAGGCGGCCGCCTGGCCGGCGAGTATACGCTTCGCGGTCAACCACCGTGGCAAAATGACCTAATCGGTGATAAAATCAGATTTCTAAAATAAAGTTCGTTTTGGTTTTGGTTTTGTTGAAAACCCGTGTATTTTAGTCAGATCTGTAAACCTTTGATATGATTAAGTAATAAAAGGATAAAGTTATGCGTAAATGGATAAAAATGTTTTGGAGAAATAGAGGCGTCGTGTTGCAGATTTTTGGTTAGAAGGAAGATGACTCTAAAAATACAGTTTTACCCTTCATTAAAAGGAAGGAAGGTAAAAAACAACGGATTACGTTGTGTTGGAATTGAACACAGTTTTACCCTTCATTAAAAGGAAGGAAGGTAAAAAACAACGGATTACGTTGTGTTGGAATTGAACACATGAACTTTCAGCGAAACAAAGAAGTCTATAGCCAACTGGGCCAGCGAGTTTCCTCGTAAAATGTATGCATATAAGTGAATACACATAATATGCTTATAAACTAATCTCTGTTTAATCTCCGATTAATCCCCGATTTTTGTTAACTCGCTAGGTCCGGGTCGACCGCCCGACTAACGCCTAGGGCAATTTCGAACAGAGGATTTTACATATATATAGAAAGTTTAATATAATATAAAGATACAATATTACTTGGCCCATTCTATAAATATTAAAATTTATGTTAGGTCCAAAACGAATTCATTTACTTCAAAAAATGGAAAATAAAATTAGACAATATGCACTATCACGTATTAAGTATAAAATCACTATGTTTAGGGCTGGGCATTTTATCCGTTATATTTGATTTGATCCGTTATTCGTTTCGATTCGATCCGAAAATTCCGGATATCCGTAAACTTTCGAATCAAAGCAATACTAAAATTCAATATCCGTTAAAATCGAAGCAAATCACAAATATTAAAATTTTGGAAAGCGGATATCCGATCCGATCCGTAAATATATAAATATATGTATATTTTGATTATATTAAAAAATTTCATTGTATACAATTATATAATTATTATTTTAGCACATGATTTTGAACAATTCTATTCAAATTATTACTTATATAAAAGTATTACATAAAAAGAGATAAAATATTTTTGACAATTATATTTTTTTCTTAAATTTTGTGTTATTATAATTGTAACTTAAACTTTAAAAAATTACAAAATCTATAAATTCACTAGTTCTTTTAAGTTTTGTTTTATATATCATGCAAAAAAATATTTTTTCAAAGCAAATTTGTATCAAAATCTTAAGATTATTTGTACTAATTAAAATGGATGAGATGTCCGTAAATATTCGTAAATATCCGCAAATATCTATTTATTTTCCGGATATCCGTTTTTCCGGATATCCGTATTTTTTCGAAGTAAAGCAAATACCAAAATTAGATATCCGTAACATTCGAAGCAAATCACAAATACCTTAAAAAACTCGGATATCCGATCCGTACCCACCCCTAACTATGTTAAGTAACTTATAAATTACCATATTAATTGTATCTACCATAGGAAGAATATCTAAATAATAAATTTAGTTTAATTTTTTCATTAGAGATTTAAAAATTTGAAGAAGACTTCATTTCCATATATGTGTTCACTACATATTAAACTACTTTAAAACATACATTTATATTTAATTCCTGGAAAGGAATAACATAACTAAGAATTATAGGGAGGATCGTACCGGTTCAATTGATAAACGGACGAAACTATTAGTTAAAGCTTATAATCTAACACTATTAAAAGCCCTTATTATAGAGCTTTTAGTCTGTCCACATAGGACAATTTAATCAACCAATTAAAATCTTACAAATTGCCATGTCATATCAATTCCTGTCGAGAATAAAAATTAGAAATCATATCGACAATTTCCTACGACTTTGTCTTCTCCTTTCCTCTTCATCCAATCTGCGTTACTAAATCCTCATCTGTCATCAATCAATGGTGATTTCGTTTTTTTCTTTTCTTTTCTTTTCTTTTCTTTTCTTTTCCACACTAGGTGTAGCTTCCTGGTTCTTCCTTGTTCCAGTTGAGGTAATGTAATCCTCTAAAAAATTTTAAAATCGACTCATTAACTCTTATATTGGCTATCATATGATTTAGTATGTGGGCTTCCGCTTTAATCTGAGAAAGACCAATTTAAAATAGGGTTTGATCCCCTTTCAGAGCTGGAGTTGGCGACGTGATCACATCTCACCGATTCCGGAAGTCGTTTTTGTAACGTTCCTCTGTTTTAGTCTTCAAGTAACACATTTCCTTGTTAACTCTGTTTAGGTGGTTCCTCTGTTTTTTCCTTCTGTTCAGTTACGGACTTTCCTTTGTGAGACAATCAACGTAACAGGAGCAGCGATATGGACAATCTACGTCTTGATCTTCCTTTGCTATCTTCACCGCCGTCTTGGCCGTATTCGCAATGCTGGCTCGTGTCTCTCTCTTTGGCCTCCATGGAAACGGTAGAAAACTCTTCTGTGGTATCGCAGCTACTGTCTTTTCCATCATCATGTGCGCTTCTCCACTCTCAATCATGGTAAGAAATCAATCAAGACGTGTTGCTTCAACTTTTCCTCAGTTCTTTAAAATGTTTGATTTTTTAAGGAACAGAGATTGGTGATAAAGATGAAGAGTGTAGAGTATATGCCATTCTTTTTATCACTCTTTGTGGTTCTCTGTGGAACTTCTTGGTTCATCTATGGTCTCATCGGTCGTGACTCTTTTGTTGCAGTAAGTTTAACTTTACTTCTCCCTTCCTTCCCTGAACTTGATTACTAAACGTTGACGTCTTTTTCTGTTTTGTGTGAAGATCCCAAATGGGTTTGGATGTGCTTTTAGGGACAGTGCAGTTGATTATTTATTTCATCTGCTATGGAAACAAATGCGATAAATCAACATATGCCGAAAAGGATGAGAAGAATACAATTGAGATGAAAGATGAGGAGAACAAACAAAAATGTGGTTAATGGAAAGCAGCAAGAGCAGCAAGTTTAGATCTTTTGAATGATTTGTTTTGTGGTTAATTTGTTTTTAACTCTTCTTCATTAGAATTTTTTACTTTTGGTTATGGAGAGGCTTTGTGATCACTCGTTGACTCCGCCTTGGAAAACTCTCAGGAGTGACTCATCGCAACCAATTCAGAGAGTCTTTCTTCTACCTGTAATTTTACTTTTCTTTCGCCTCCCCATCTCTATCTTCTTTGAAATTGAAGAAAACTGTGTTTATAGGTTATCTGATTTGAAGGCAGAGAAAAATCCCACATAAGATGAGCCTCCTTCTAAATGGAGACTTTCTTATGTCGTTTTAAGGTACCCTAAGACTATCATGGTTCCCCTACAGAAAGTATGACATCCTATCATACAAAGTGTTTTTTTCTCTCTAAAATTATCATTAGGAGACTCAGGTTGAAGGTGAAGATCAAAGTGACAAGAAGCTGGATGGTCAAAGTTAGTCCCAGAGGCATGCCGAACAAAGAGAGGGACCAAGAATGTAATCAATATCCACTTACATCTTTTTACAAAAAAACTCCTCTTTACTTAGTGGATATTTCGTTTACCTTAATACTATTAGTCGCCATGCTCTTATCAGGTTATGAATTATGGCATTGACTGAGCCTGCACCAGAGCATTTCTCTAGAATTGGGAGCCTAGATGGTTAATAGGAACAGAAGAATTAATGCTGGGTAGTTTTCTTCTTTTTTAAATCTATCATGGTATTTATCACGACAATGATGGCATATATATGGTTTTAAATTAGAATAGCTTCTTCCTTTTTAAACTGGTTTGAGAAAAAATATAGTGTTATGAGCAAGATCTCGAAGATGTATAATGGGCATACGTTTATTTTTCTTGTGCAGCTTAAAAGAGAATCGACAAGGACACTGATTATGTGGTCCAAATCATCAAAGCTCTTGGTCACTTCCATTACGACATATAAAGGAAATAATTGGTACAGTATGAACTGATCTCACAGAAGAAGCCATATCAAAGAGCTTGGAAACAAGCATCTATCAGATAAAACCTGGTGATCACAAAGAAGACACCAAATCCAGCATCTGCCAGGTCTGTCTCCTTTGCTTTGTTTGTCATAATCAAGTCTTTGGCTTTGATTAAATCTCAAGTAAAGTCTGCTACGAGGTTATGTAGCTAAGTGAACAACACCAAGCTTAGAGAAAACTGTTAGGGGTGTTGTCACATAGTTTAATAGAAATCTTTGATGATTACAATCGTTTCATTGATGGTGATCATGGCAGTGAATATAGAACTGATATGGTTTATTGGTTTCCGGGAAGAGTAACAATAGGTGATGAAGTTGGAAAGCTACATTGTGAGGAAGAAGAAGACGGTTACAGAAGAGGAGGTCTCTGCACAGCTTACAAGAGAAATATCGACAAGAAAACTGATTAAATATCTATATGTGGTCAAAATCATCAGAGTTCTTAGTCACTTCCATTACAACACAGAAAGATCAAAGATCACTGTTAACGTCGCCACTGCTTCCAACTTCTCCAAACTGTGCATCACAATTTTTATTTTGAGGTGCTTCAAGTATCTGACCAGAAATATTTTGAGAAAGTACAATCTCCATGATTGGATTTGCGTGATTGGGTTGACCTAAGATACTGGAACATGTACGAGCTAAGATATTTAAACCAAATATAATGAGTTCTCTTTCTTATTATATTGTAGTGCTCAGGAATACGTGCTTCACATTTTCCTTTGTTTACTTAAAATAAGAGGCTGTATCTGCTTGAGAAGCTGCAGAAGAAAAAACGTTTTTCATGATTCATAAAAAAGAAAAGAGCAGCAACTACTAGCTTACCAATCTTCATGTATTGTAAGAAAGGACTTTAAATCGGCACAGTCTCTTCAAATACTTGATTGGTTCCGTTAGCGGATGTTAGCCGTTGAAGAGCTGCTCTACATCTTTGGCTTAGCGTATTTCATAGAGAATGAAACTCAGGTTGTTTAGTTGGATGTGGTGAGTCTCTGCTTTCTTTAGGCTTATGGTGAGAGGATGCATTTGCTGTGAGTTTTGTTTGTTTCACATTTTATACTTCATTTTAATTGTTATCTTTGGCTGATTGAATAAAGCGTAAAAAGAAATCATATAATATTAATGTCTCGACTGAGAAAAGTATATAATTGAAAACTTGTGGATTTCCATAATCTATATTATAATGATTCAGTTTAAAGGCTCCTTAAGATGTCCACATAGACAGATTGTGGGTCCCACATTTTTATATTAAAATAGATAGTTATTTTGAAATGGCTACAAACAAAGAATATCAGTTTAGCCAAGTGGTCTAAGATCCAATGTTTGGTCTCCAAGGACATGGGTTCAATTCCCACTGCTCTCATGCATCATAAAAATATTTTTTAAACACACATAGTCATTTTAAACACACATAGTCTTGGTAAGATGGGCACAAACAATTAAATACACTTTAACCAAGTGGTATAAGGTGTCTAATTAAGTATGCAATATCATGTATTTTTGATTTTTTTTATTTAAGTTATTATCGTATGGGCTTTTTGTTTATAAGGTTCTTATGTTTTTTTGGGGCTTATTGTTTTAAAGATAAAAATAGTTGTATAAACCCTAAACCTTAATAAGTTCAAACCCAAAATAGTTAAAAATGAATCCAAAACGAATAATAAAACAAAAAACAAGTCTCACGTGGTTGCCTACACGGATGGCTTAAAGAACCTTAAAACTATCATATTATAATATAGCTCAACCCAAAAATAATAAAAAATAAATCCAAAAATGAACAAAAAAAAAAGAAGTGAATTCCACGCGGGTGCATACTTGGATGGCTTAATGAGGGTTGAATAATATAGATTAGGAGCTCAAAAAGTTAAATCATTGCACATATTTCCTAATATATATTTTCAAAAAATTTGTATGTGAGATAAAATAAAATAAAACAACAAAAATTAATTATTTTCGTTATTATTAAATGAATATATAATTTCTCTTACATTTTAATAACTATTATAATTTCCTTGAAAACATTCCTCACCATCGATTCCAGACTCCGGCGAATGGATTCCCACAGTCGATGACGCCGTAGATAAAAATGCCACATCATTTATGAACAAAACTCAAACTTACAAAAAACCATATATAAAAGCCTATCTAATGAAACTTAAACAACGAATATTAACTTAATTAAGGTTATTTTCAAATTGATAAATCGTTTAATACAAATATAAATACTATAANAAACTTACAAAAAACCATATATAAAAGCCTATCTAATGAAACTTAAACAACGAATATTAACTTAATTAAGGTTATTTTCAAATTGATAAATCGTTTAATACAAATATAAATACTATAAATATAGAATTATATCAAGTTTTGATCTACGATATAAAAACTATTTACAGCAAAAAAAAAAACACACCTACTTTTACACACTCAAAACTATATTATAGCCTAACTATTCCTATAAACCTTACTTCGCATATAAATAACATTTAGCACATTCCTAATATTTTTCAAAAAAAATTGTATGTGAAATAAAATAAAATAAAATAAAATAAACAACAAAATTTAAGTAAGTTATTTATTAAATGAATATGTAATTTCTCTTATATTTTAATAACTACTATAATTTCATTGAAAATATTTATCACCACCGACTCCAGACTTCGGCGAATGAATTCCCAAAGTCGATGACTCCGTAGATAAAAATGCCACATCATTTATGAACAAAACCGAAACTTACAAAAAACCATATATAAAAACCTATCTAATGAAACTTAAACAATGAATATTAACTTAATTAAGGTTATTTTCATATTGATAAATCGTTTAATACAAATATAAATACTATAAATATAGAATTATATTAAGTTTTGACCTACGATATAAAAACATGAAATTTTCCATTTCATTATTAATTGGTGTTATTAGAAGAATCCACTAAACCAACAATCAAAAAAAATACACGTAAACATAATGATTCCGGCCCCGCGCTTGCGCGGGGAATATGCAACTAGTTATTAGAATTATTCACTGAAAGCATAATGTAATACAAATTAATGTTCTCCACATTCTTACCATTGATGCCCTATCTCTCGGCTTGGCTAAATTATATGTGCTACATGTGATTATAATTTGTTTGAAGTTATCTGTAGCAGGTTTACTTTCCATGACTAATTCTGTACACTTTCTTTATCTTTATTGACATTCATGCTATTCATTTTGATCATTTTTTGACAAAGGAATTCATTTTGATCGTATAGACTGTAATCGAAGAGAAAAAAAAAACAAAAAAGCATGTGATATCATATCAATTTGGTCATAAAGTTTTCTGTACGACAATTGTATTTATCTCATTACCTTAAGAACACATGTAGCTAGCTGTTTTGATCCAAAAATGGTGTTTTTGCTGGTGTTTATTTGAATCATAACAATAAAAGATCTAATGATATAAAACTTAGATCTTTGAGGCTTAGAAGATATAATCAAAGAAATCAAACGAGAAATAGAAAGAACATCCAAGATTTTATTGATAAAAGATTGTATTACCAAGATCATTTGGAATATAAATGAATCTAAAATCANATAAAAGATCTAATGATATAAAACTTAGATCTTTGAGGCTTAGAAGATATAATCAAAGAAATCAAACGAGAAATAGAAAGAACATCCAAGATTTTATTGATAAAAGATTGTATTACCAAGATCATTTGGAATATAAATGAATCTAAAATCAATCAAATCCTTGTAAGAAGTGTTCTTGATCTAAAAAGTAGAGAAGATCCTTTCTAAAGAGGAGGTAGCTCCTTATTTATAGAAATGAGAGGCCTAGGGCTTCCTAATAACATGGGCCCAATTCATTGTCTAATGGGCCTTGGGAAGGATGTGAATCCACCC